AAAGATAATGTGACATTTCTTTTTTGGTTAACGAGTTAATAAAGTTTTTACATAGTTGAGCGGACATAAAACTATCCATGAATAGTAAGACAATTTACAATATGTAGGAATATGGCATATGTTGTTTATTTATGCCGGTAATGTATTTCTTATGTTGTAACACTGTTCGATGTACTTTATGGTTTCTTTGATTAGTGAAGTGTTCTTATTACTCATTATTTGTATGAATTTAGTATTGTTTGTCATATCTTGGAATCCATATATACAGGATTTGGCTGTTGAATATAGAATGTCTCTGTTGTTTGCATATAAGGTGCATTCTGTTGTGAAATGTTGTTCATCTTCAATTTTGAGACAGTTTTGACAAATTCTGCTTTGTAGCAAATAAATAAATGAGCCTGCATTTGTGATTGGACTTCATAGACTTGTATAAATAAGTGAGTCTCTTTGTGATCAGACTTCCTAGATTCCTACAAATAAATGAGCCTGCATTTGTGATCGGACTTCATAGACTTGTACAAATAAGTGAGTCTCTTTGTGATCAGACTTCCTAGATTCCTACAAATAAATGAGCCTGCATTTGTGATTGGACTTCATAGACTTGTATAAATAAGTGAGTCTCTTTGTGATCAGACTTTCTAGATTCCTACAAATAAATGAGCCTGCATTTGTGATTGGACTTCATAGACTTGTATAAATAAGTGAGTCTCTTTGTGATCAGACTTCCTAGATTCCTACAAATAAATGAGCCTGCATTTGTGATCGGACTTCATAGACTTGTATAAATAAGTGAGTCTCTTTGTGATCAGACTTCCTAGATTCCTACAAATAAATGAGCCTGCATTTGTGATTGGACTTCATAGACTTGTATAAATAAGTGAGTCTCTTTGTGATCAGACTTCCTAGATTCCTACAAATAAATGAGCCTGCATTTGTGATTGGACTTCATAGACTTGTATAAATAAGTGAGTCTCTTTGTGATCAGACTTGCTAGATTCCTACAAATAAATGAGCCTGCATTTGTGATCGGACTTCATAGACTTGTATAAATAAGTGAGTCTCTTTGTGATCAGACTTCCTAGATTCCTACAAATAAATGAGCCTGCATTTGTGATTGGACTTCATAGACTTGTATAAATAAGTGAGTCTCTTTGTGATCAGACTTCCTAGATTCCTACAGAATAGAATAGAATAGAATTCTTTATTAATACCGTAAAGATAATGTGACATTTCTTTTTTGGTTAACGAGTTAATAAAGTTTTTACATAGTTGAGCGGACATAAAACTATCCATGAATAGTAAGACAATTTACAATATGTAGGAATATGGCATATGTTGTTTATTTATGCCGGTAATGTATTTCTTATGTTGTAACACTGTTCGATGTACTTTATGGTTTCTTTGATTAGTGAAGTGTTCTTATTACTCATTATTTGTATGAATTTAGTATTGTTTGTCATATCTTGGAATCCATATATACAGGATTTGGCTGTTGAATATAGAATGTCTCTGTTGTTTGCATATAAGGTGCATTCTGTTGTGAAATGTTGTTCATCTTCAATTTTGAGACAGTTTTGACAAATTCTGCTTTGTAGCAAATAAATAAATGAGCCTGCATTTGTGATCGGACTTCATAGACTTGTATAAATAAGTGAGTCTCTTTGTGATCAGACTCCCTAGATTCTTACAAATAAATGAGCCTGCATTTGTGATCGGACTTCATAGACTTGTATAAATAAGCGAGTCTCTTTGTGATCAGACTTCCTAGATTCCTACAAATAAATGAGCCTGCATTTGTGATTGGACTTCATAGACTTGTATAAATAAGTGAGTCTCTTTGTGATCAGACTTCCTAGATTCCTACAAATAAATGAGCCTGCATTTGTGATCGGACTTCATAGACTTGTATAAATAAGTGAGTCTCTTTGTGATCAGACTTCCTAGATTCCTACAAATAAATGAGCCTGCATTTGTGATTGGACTTCATAGACTTGTATAAATAAGTGAGTCTCTTTGTGATCAGACTTCCTAGATCCTACAATAAATGAGCCTGCATTTGTGATTGGACTTCATAGACTTGGTATAAATAAGTGAGTCTCTTTGTGATCAGACTTCCTAGATTCCTACAAATAAATGAACCTGCATTTTGTGAATCGGACTTCATAGAACTTGTATAATTAATGATTCTCTTTGTGATCAACTTCCTAGATTCCTTACAAATAATGAACCTGCATTTGTGATTGGACTTCTAAACTTG